GCCACCTTCTGCTCTGGAGTGTACACGCTTCGCCTATGAGAAAAAGGAGCAGCGCATCAACCGAACGCAACACACGCGAACCGAACCGAGACAGTCGAACCGAACGGTTCGGACGGTTTTCATAAACCGTTCCATCCCTAGTGGAAATGGCATAAGTCAGCCCGGCCAGGCTACTTTGGCACTTCTGACCATCTAAGGCCAACTTGGGTATCGAATGTTTTGTCCAAAAATAAATCAAAAACTTGCTGGAAAAGAGCTAGGTCATCTGTTACCACCACCAGTTGAGCAGCAGAACCTGGCTGATAGTTGGAAATTAAACACTTTTAAAGCATAACTTCACAGACTTAACAGATTATGGTTGGTTCCTGCTAAGGTAGTGGAAAAGACTGAATGCCCTAAAGCAACAGTTAGAGGTCATACAAGCTTTCCTTAGACTCAGGATGTGGATTCAAACATTTCTGAAACTTCCAGGTTTCCCTAATTAACATAATTGATTAAATCAGCCTTAAATGCATAAAAAAAAATAAAAAAAACAGCTTACTAAGTTTTCTGGTCTTGGTAAAACTAGTTCTGTTAGTAGAAGAAGTCAAACTTTTATAGGAAGCAAAGGGTAAAAAACTGAAGCTTGTTTGTGTTGAATTATTTGGAAGGTTTGTGCAGGTTGTAATTTGGCAGGTTACAGTGGAGGGAAGCAGCAGGGAATCATTCCTACTCCAATATTCCTGTTCTCACTTTCCATCATTGCCAGCACAAGGTTTTATTCCAAATTACGAGGACAGCTTGGATAAATTAATAAATTAAATTCTGGGAATCTGAAGCTGAAACATTGGTGGCTGTGGCTAAAATAGGCACATAAAATCCATCCATGAGCTGGAAATCCCTATTTCTGCTGTTTTGCTGTTTGTCTTTAACTGGTTTTTCTCACTTGACGCCGTTCGCGGATGGCTGAGAGCCCTGCAGCCAGTGTGTAAAAAGCAATTAAGAAAAAATTCAAAGGCGATTCGAGCGCAGGTTTAACTTAAGACTGCACTGGAAGCATGAGCGCCGTACGGCCCGCTGAACCATATCGTCTTGTCTTGAATTCATGAGGCGGTATGAAACAGGTCAGCTAAGCATGTGAATGCGCTCGATGTTCAACCTAATGACCTCAGCAGAGCTCTGTCCCCCAGGAGCAAACACGTAGAGAAGTAAAACTAGAAATCAGGGTTCCTACAGCATAAGGCAAGTTAAATTCAAGACTTTTTAATGCCACTTGAAATAAAAATTTAAGACCAAATTTACAAGAAACACAAGAAAAACCTGCTTGCGACAACTTTACCCAAAGGTTTAATTTAATATAAACCACTGTACTAATGTTTCAAATTTTGAAAAGCTTCCCATACAGGAAGAAAGCTAAAAACAAACAAATGACAGATATATTTTAACAATTATTTAACTGAATTCACAAACTTTGTTTTAGCAGGGAACGAAACAAATCAGTTTTAAAGCCACAACATAACCAGCGCTAAGTCTTTTTTGCATCTATTTTTCTTTGTATCGTTTTCTTAGTATGTCTGATTTGGTGATAAGTGGAGGCGTTGCAGAGACAAGGGTGGAACTAAACTGAGAAATACCGGCTGTTTCTCTGTAACTCGATTTTGACGCTTTGTGTTTCTCGCTTCGCATGTGCGACTCCACTGCCTTAATTCCCATCATTCTGAGCTTGAATGACTTCTTGCATAAATCCACTGATCCTCATGTATGTTCCCTGGTACTGGTTTTATAGCCTCGTGAGACCATCCTGATCTCGCGAACTTTCAGGATTTCACTCGCTAATCAGTCTGGAGACTCTCCGTTGAAGAAAATTTGGAGCCGTTCACCAAACGAACGTCCAATCAGCGTTGGCTTTGAGGCGGGTTGAGGTGTGACGCAACGAGAAGCGCGACAGTTCAGTCTAAAGAACATGGCGGCTTCAGCCGATGAAACTAGCGTTAGCGTGGCTATCGAGCAAGTTTTATCGGAATTACAGAGTATTTCTTCACTGAAAGAAGAGCAAAACACTGCTCTGGAGGCTTTTCTCAGAGGAAAAGATGTTTTTTCTCTTCTCCATGGAGAAAACTCTTGGCTGGAGCCAATTTCGGTTACATTTACACTTATATTTTCCAGACAAAAAGTTAATGGCGCATCTCCCAAATGTCCTGGCCGCAACAACGCTTTTATTGGTTCTGCTATCGGGATGGAACCAGTAATGGTGAGCAGTTTATTTATTTTTTCTTAAAAAAAAGTCAATTTTAATGTTTTATTTAGATTACAAAAATAAATCGTAATAAAAATAATCCTATTTATGTTTTAAAAAATAAGACCTACGAAAGACTGATTTAAGACATTTTAACACCAATTAAGGCCTTAGTTTTATTTTGAAGAATTCAATGCCTTTTAAGACTTTTTAAGGACCCGCGGGAACCCTCAGAAATGTACTCGTCTGCCCTGACCCGATCTATTATCTCTCGTATATAAAAACCAAATGCATTTCTTAACCATCACTGACAGATTTTTATTGATACGGTGGCCATTTTGTGCTGAGGTGGTTTCCAATTGCTTCCAAACATGTGCTTTGGCTCGTTGCCCATGTTGCTGTTGGAGAGATCCCTGAACAACAAGGCAACCCATGCCTCAGACAGTGAGGAGAGGAATAAAACAGCATTTATCCTCCCTACAAGAAACTGAAATCAACAATTATTAACAACCTGAACTCCCCGTAAATAATAAAGCAAAACAGAAACCAAGTTCTTTAGAATATTTCGCTTGGATAGAGAGTTTCTAAACTTTGAGCACAATGAGGCGAACAATTTCCCCTGCTTGTTGACTTTAAGATAGGGTTTGCTCCATCTGGCCTCAGCCCAAAGAATGATTCAAATTTTCCTATCAAGTTCTAGCCTTAAACAGTCGTTTTTTGTTGAAAAATGAAGAAGAAGCAGAAAAAGACACTAAAGAACCTGCTGTCTTGTTTTTTTTTTTTACAGACCAAACGTTGAAATGCCAACTTCTTAACAAGCTTGACGAAAGACGATGAAAAGGGTCAAACCAAAAACTCGGACAGCCTTAATGAACTGCACACAGCTTAATTATGTCTAAATGTTGGTCTGGAGAGGGCTGCATTAGATTAGTTAAGATTAAATCTTAATGATCCCACTTGAGAATAAACACAGCAGCAAGTTCTGGTAGAATACATAAGCAAATAATAATTTTCCAGCTTTCATAGACAAACAAGACTGTTTCATCAATAAATAGGAGTGTTTAAGGAGTGGCGATTCAAACATCAACAAGGAGTAAAACAAATTGGACCTCTTGGCATTACAAATATTATTGGAGGAGATTCTGCTGAGCTGCTCTCTGAATTGGTAAATAGTTTTAAAAATAGATAAAGCTGGTTTATCCAGGGAAATAGAACAGAAAATAGAGAAATGGGAGAAGGAATCCCTGCTAATATGGCTGTAAAAATGAAAATTATGCTCTGTTTCAGTCTGATTTCTCTTTATAAAACATGAATGAGGAAAGGAAGCTGAATAAGGATGATGGGACACAGTTATAAAATTAAGATGGAGGATTTAAATTCATCTGAGGAAACACATCAGTAGGAGAGAAAACAGTAAAACCAGGGACCTCATTCCTCTCTAGGGGGCATATATACTCTCTATATATTAGGAAACATAGTAGATGACGTTCATACGTTGCATAAAAAGCTGTTTGGTTCAAGGGAAACTGTGGTTAATGTGTAAGCAGTCTTGTAAACAGGAGTGAAAGAAGAACGAGTTTGTTTTTCAGTTATTAAACCCACTGGCCCTTCTCTTGTGTTCCCACGTTTTACCTCGATGATGTCGGCATTGGTCCGGCTCTCGTGTGGCTCGTTGTACTCCGTGTACTTGAGCAGGACCTTGTCCATGTCGGTGCTGGCGTATTGAAACAGTTTGTTCGAGTGGTTGAAGATAATGAGAGCTATCTCACAATCGCAAAGGACGCTCAGCTCGTACGCCTTCTTCATCAAGCCGAACTTCCGTTTGGTGAATGTCACCTGGTGGAAGGAAAAGGAAAGAAAGAAAAGGGAAATTACACAAGCTGATATTTTAATTAGTTAAGGAAATGTTCATTTTAAGAAATGGAGAATTTAAAATAAACAGAATAAAAGGAATAAAACCACACATTAAATTTCTTTCCTGCTTCCTTTAAAGGGCCAAATCGGCCCAGTAGCTTAGAACTTTCTGTGTTTGGTTGTAACTAAAAGCCCATTTACTATTGTAGGGACAGAGATGTCAACGTAAGAAAGTTGATTTTGTCCAGGGATGTTTGTCATGTCAAATTACATAGCAGACAGTAGCACTGAAACAATTAATCGGACTAATCGTGATCAATCCATTATTGACTTAATTGTCAACTAATTTAGTAATCAATTAATTGTTGACTTGAGTATAGAGACTGCAAAATATGCCTTTAGCTGATAAAACTACCCATTTAGAGCAGTAATTATATCAAAATTGTAATATATATATTTATATAAAAATTGTATTTAAGATTTAAAAAAAGTTTTCCCAGTCAAAATGTTCTATCCAGAACTCCTTAGGTGGAGAAGTTTCATCTGGTTTAATTTCGTAAAAAGTATTTTTTAAGGAACTTTTGGTTATCAGATTATTAATTGATTAATCAAAAAAAATTCCAAATAAATCCAGAAATAGTAGACATTATCCATATATTTGAGTGCTGCCAAATCTGCGAAAAAATAAAACCAGAACGTGTTTAAAATGAGTTTAAAGGATCTTAATGAGACATCTTAAAGTTTATTATTGTTGGTGTTGCTGGTCTTCTTCTCTAGTAGAAGCTGAACAACCTCGGAGGCCAATCTTTATATCTCTCGAACCAGAACTGTTAGAACCAGCTCATCTTCATGAAATCAAAAATCAGGACTCCTATCACTGTTTCATCACCATGAATGCAGAGTGTCGGAAACCCACAGGATTGAGACATCTAATTAAGGGGAATAGAAAAGGCTCTTTTTTTCCCAAGTCCTCAGTTTTAACTTGCACACACGGTGGCTTTCACTTCCCGTCACATTCACCCTCCCCGTCATTTTCACACTCCGTTATGCTCTTTTCCGTGCTCTCTTTCTTTTTCACACATGCTCTCATGCCTTCTTTTCCACACTCTCCTTCTGTCACACATTATTCCTTTCGTTCAAGCAGAAAGACACACACACACACACCAACTCTCTTCATCAAGCCCCCTCAGTTGTGAACATGCTGAACAGAACTGGAAGTGTTGCTGAAGCACAGGGTCCCTTGTTGTCTGCTGATTGGCTTTGGAAGTGCTTCTCTACTTTAACCAACTGGTATTTGCAATCTAGAGAGATTTGGCTTTTTGTTTAGATTAAACACACAGGATTGCACAAAAACAAACAAGCGCAGAGGAAAAATAAAAGGCTTCAGGTATGGCTACAATCTGAAGCGATGCAAATCACAGCGAAAGTAAATTAGTACACAGATGGTGTAGAACAAGACAGGGAAGTTTTCAAAAGATGCCGCATGTTCAAGCCGCACCCACAGGTGACGTGATATTGTTCATCATACATAAAAGCAAAAAAACAAGCCGTGACGTCTCAGCGCAAGGCTGTGTCCTGCAGAGCGGCATGTCAACAACTTGTTGGACCCGTATGAAAGTGACGCTAGAAACCGAAACCTTGTCTTTACTTACTATGCATCTATAGTTATTTTTATTAAGATACTTATATGCCCTTACACATTCAATATTAATATTTTTTTGAGTTTATATTAATCTCTTGACTAAATGAAAAGGTAAAGGTGATAAGAGGACAAAATATCATATTTGTTTTTATCACCAATTCAATTTAATTTATTTATATAGCACCGAATAACAACACAAGGCACTTTGACTGTAGGAATTTTAAAGTTTTCTATCTAAGGAAAACCAGTTGATTGCATCGAGTCATTGACTTGAAGGCAATCCCTCACATTTAGCATGCTTGTAGCGACAGTGGAGAGGAAAAACTCCCTTTTAACAGGAAGAAACCTCCAGCAGAACCAGGCTCAGTGTGAGCGGCCATCTGTAATATCGGCAAATATCAATAAGCTAACAATGAACTGCTAGCTTACGATTAACCTAAATAACCATAAAGGTTAGCCGTTTTCATTAGACCACTTAAAAAATATTTGATTCATTGTTTATATTTTTGCTGTTTTCATTATTTTGGGGTAAAAAGATATATTTTAAAAAGGTAACTCAACGGTTAAATACTCTAACTTAGAGATAAACAGTTAAACTAATTCGCAGGATAAACTGTTAGCAGCTAAAAGTTAGCTAATTATTTTTGTTCACTTTGTCCTGGTTCAAAAAATTAAAGATTAGTAAACTTTCCTGGTTAAAAAATAATTACGTACTGATGAAGTAAAGACTTTACTCTCATCATTACAAAATAAAAACTTTAGCACCAGTTAGCATTTAGTTTTAAAGAACTCCTTAATGGAAGACTGACAATAAGAAACTGATGAACAAGTAAATTATCAAGCAATCTTAACCATAAAAAATATAGAGAAACTGCTTGGTTAATGGTCAGTCAATGAACTCCTGCTGTTAAACCAATAATTACTGGTAACTGGTTAGATCAGTGCAGATTTGTTCTTAGTAAATTCTTAATTAGAACCTTTTGCCTTTTGTTTTTATAAAAAAGTTTCGGAAATAAAAATTTAGAAAAAAAATCCTACTCTGCCTTCCTTCAATTTGGTGGTACCGTATTTTCTGGACTATAGAGTGCACCTCACTATTTTTTTATTTATTTTTTTTTTAAACTGGAAACCTAAATATTTATTACTGACGTCTACTGAACTGCCCCCCACCAAACCTATAGGGGGAGCTCTACATATAACCCCCTAGAGTAAGAAGAACGCTAGCTCCTGTTAGCTTGTTGGCTCACAGCAGTTAGAGCTTCTATTTTAAGATGGGGCGTTATCAGCTGTTTATTTCAGCTTTCTAGGAGTTGCGTACAGTCTCTTCATTGATTCGACAGCTTTAATGTGCCAAATAAATGTAAAAATGTGTGAATTCGAGACATTTGTTCTCTGCCGTGCCTGCTGCTAGCATGTGCTTGTGCTAAATGAAAATTAGCCCCTTCTTTGGTTTCCAACTTTGACTTCTTCCCCCTATTGGTTAGGAAAAATCACCAGAAAAGCTGCAGCTTTGTATAAGCCGCATAGTTCATAGTGTGTGGGGGGGGGGAAGTAGTGGCTTATAGTCCATAAAATACGGTAATTGTTGCGTCTTTTGCTTTCAAACAGTCCGTGATCCGCCTTCACATGGAGGAAATATACACTTAGTTTCAGTTTGGTATTTGTATCAGGCATGTTAGTTTCCGATCAGAAATATCTAAGGAGAATAAATGTGTGTTGTTTTGATGCGTGTTAAAAGCTTTAACACTGAGTAAAACAGCGGTTAAACTATTAGTATTTTTATTTTTTGCCATTACTGAGCTTCACTGACTCCAAGGCCAGAGAGGCCTTTTCATCTATTGCACAGCCGTTTTAACAATGACAACAAAGGAATGCACTAATGTTGATATCAGTTTGCCTGTGCTGACTGGGGGCTGCACGCTGCTCTCCTGCAACAATACCCCTGAACTGAAACTGTAATTGAAATGATGAAACATGGGAAGAAGGAGAAGGAAAGTGCAAATAAGGACATTGAGGATGAGAACCACAGAAGCAGCCGTGTGAGACCTTCAATCTCTCCATCTTCCTCCCCCTGTGATCGCTCCATCCCTTCTGTCTCCTGCTCCTTCCTGCCTCAGCACCTGACACGGTTAAGCCGCTCGTCGCTCGTCTCTGTTGCTCCTCTTATTTCCTCGCCCTCGTTTTCTCTTCCCCTCCTCTGTCAGTATTTTCCACATCCTCTGCACCCCCTCCCCTCCTTTTCGTGTTAGCTCACTCATTGCTTCCTGCTGCCACAAATCAAATTATATCGGGGTCGTATCCACGGGCAACCGACTCCCTCCTCCCTTCTGCCCCACTCATTTCCCACCTCATCACACATTGCTACCATCATCATACCTCCCTCGCCCCCCCACTGTGTCATCTTTATCTTTCTACCCATCTACATAGCCCTCTGTTCCTGTTCCTCCCTCTCTCTCTCTCTTGCACACAGAAGGAGAAGATAAATTATGTGGCGATACTGGAAACGAAGGAAATTACGGCTCTGCAGGATGACAGGAATGGTTGGTGATGAAGAGACAAGCCGCCGCAAACAACAACTGCTCCCCTAACAAATTATAAGGTCACCCACCAGCATGGAAAACAAACAAAATTAGTCACAACATCCCAGAAAAACTCCTTGTTTTTCTGTTTTGGCTTCTTCTTATAGGACAACGTGGGAAGAAGGGTAGCGACTTTGGGCCTAATCTTGGGTCCTGACGTTCATTACAAAAACTAAACAAGCTGGAGGTAATTGACATTAAGAGCAGAATAGCAAGGTAACCAATAGCAACTGAAGAATAAGACATCATAGTAAGGGAAGAAAGGAGAAGAGGGAGTGTGGGGTTTGATGTGAGTGTGTGCGAACGTCGGCGCTTGTGTGTCTTGGCGAGGTTTGTGGCTGTGTGGCAGATGGATGAGGAAACCACCACTGACAACCACAACCTCTTCTCGCTCCTTCCTGCAGCCAAAAAAAAACCTTTTTTGTTTGCTGGTTTGCAGTTCAGATGATCTGGTCTGAAAAGTTGAAATCAGGTGACGAGTTTGACCGCAGCAGCTTTCGTTTTTCAAATCAATTCAAACAAAATGAGCTTAGGGTTCATGCAACGCTCACATTTTGTTTTGGGTCTTTCTTTTTTTTTTTTTAGGCACCAAGGTAAAAGTCCCAATAAGTCAAGTTTTGTTATTTTAGATTACCTTTTAAGATTTAAAGTTATCATTTTCTTCAAAGTACAAAAGCTTGTAAAATCATTTGCATGCCTCAAACTTCACATTTTATTAAATTGAAACAAAAAAACATGTAAAAGCAAATTGTTTACAAGTT